GCTGAGTTTTTCACATGTGCTTTTAAAAAGTGCCATATATCCTGGCTGGCATGGTTCAGTGGTTGAACGTCAACCTATGAACCAGGAGGTCATGGTTCGATTCCTAGTCACAGTACATGCCCAGGTTACAAGCTCGATCCCCAATGTGGGGCGGCAGGAAGCAGCCAATCAATGATTCTTTCTCATCATTGATGTTTCTATCTCTCTCTCCCTCTCCCTTCCTCTCTGAAATCAATTTTTAAAAAGTGCCATATACTTGGTATTTCTGCCAACCTTTTAAGATGTTGGGCCCAATATAGTGTCACAAGTGAAATAAGGAAGGAAAAGGCTCTGATTATTCTAACAGGCTGTTGCTTTATATGTGGTATTTTAACTCAAAATGTAATTCATATCATCTTACTGGGTTTAAAGATGTCAGTTGCCAAGGTAAATAATGAGCTGAATTTCATGCACTTGGGAATGTTTAAAACCAAGTTTCAAATTACAGATTAATATGGAATACTTGGGTCCACCTACTTGAAATACTCATATTTCACAGATATATTCACTCATATCCATACATATACATCATTATGTCTATATAACGAAACATCTCACACTGAAACATTTTGCTTTTCTAGCTGGTGTATAATTTCTTTATTCATCTTCAGTCAGTGAGTGGGTATTACCAAAACTCCACGGAGGGTAGGTTGGTTGGTTGATTGTTTGGTTGGCTGGTTAGTTGGCTGGTTGGTTTCTCAATATAGTAGGAATTCAAGTCAAATCAGTCCACAGTGGATACCTAGAGCATTGTGTCAAATTAGTATTCAGAGGACAATATAGTGCAGTGATCTACTTATAATGTCTGCCATGTGAATGGAAGGAGTACGATTGCCCTGTGTTTGCCATCCATTTCCTAGTATCCCGAAGAAATAGACCCAGAGTTTGAAATCTGCCAATGCTCTTTCTTCTTTCTGTCTTTTCCTTTATCCTTTCTGTATGAATTCTCCTTATAACCTCTACTCATCCTCCATCTACATCCACAGTTCTTCTCTTGTGTGTCTGCTTTGTCTTTTCTTTGTCATAGCCCCGTTCTGGTAATCTGCCTCCACCTCCAGTTCTATCTGGAGGATAGATGAGCCTGTTTGTGCAGGTGCGTTTTCTTCCTCCCTCCCTCGTTTGTAGAATCCTCTCCATCATTTCTTTTCTTTGAAGCTTATATTTCTTCTCCTTTCATCCCCTCTTCTACTTATAGCTTCTCCCATTAGTGATCTCCAGCTGTCATCTCTGCTATTTGATTTTGATTATCTCAAAAAGTATCCTTTGGAGAGTTAGCTTTCATCTGTTCTAAAAATTCTTTCATCATCTGGCAAATTTAGCTTTTTTCCTGCCCTATTCTTCTTCCGAACCTTGTCCTTGGCCCTTCTTACAGCCAGCTGATACCCATACTTATTTAATCAGTCTAAAACTAAAAATCCATTCAAGCCAATTTTATTTATTACTCATAAATTCTACTGATGCTACTACCAAGTGTTTCACCCAATAACTGGAACACAAACATCTATCTTATCATATATCTACAAGGAATTTGGCTTTTGGCTTTTTTTTTTCCAAGTACAGTCATAAATCCAGGAGTACATTACATAACCCAGCTTGTCCAAGAGTGGACTTTTGGAACTTTAATGTATCGAATACGCTAAGGAAAACAATGGCAGGCAGAGTGGCACTGTGGTCAAGTACTAGTAAGATTGGGAGATATAAGACATTTCATCTCCCTGTCATAGTGACTTTTTCATGGTGTATGTTGTCATTTCAAAGGCTTCAAAGATTTTGAAGATTTCTAAGAGTAAATAAATTGATTTATCAATACGTTTCCCAATCTTTTTTTAACTAACACCTATTGGCATTCATTGGAAATGCTGGTCTATAGCCTACAAACCCAGTAATAGAGGGTGAACTTTCCTTCACCTCCTTTATCTGTGTCTCTCCACTCGGAGCCTGGGCCCTCCCTGCCTGGCGTGGTTATGGTGGATCAGCTGCACATAAGAATGCAGTGTTCATAAGTTAATTATACTTTTTGTTTGGGGAAAAAAATGGCGTGTGTGTAGCCCTAACTCATCCTTCATTTTATCAATTTCTTTACAACATGTGGGCTATTTTCAAGCAGACTATATATCCTGGGTTTTTAATATAGAAAGCCAGGAGAATATATGATCAAAAGTTTTTAAGATTTATATTTGTTTTAAACAATATTGCCTACATTTGCTCCACATTGTTTCTGCCTCTTATGGGAAACCATTGGGGGTGGAGGCTGACGTAGCTAAAATCACGTTTTAGGTGAGCAACATCTGGAAGGCATGGCCATGGAGAAGGGAAATGTTCTTGGATTCAAAAACCCAGATCGTTCTGTCCAGCTCCTTTGAAATAGAGCAGAGGACTCTTCTTGCCACGAGGCAACGTCTCTCAAAGGGTTGCACTCTTACCTCTGCTGAAAACACACACTGTGTTAGGTGTTACCAACATGGCAGTGAGTAACAATCACGTGATAAGGAAGTCACTTTTTGCCCATTTCTTCTTAAGTTCTGACCAAGTCAAGGAGAATGTTTTGATTTGGTTCTAGTAAATCTTTAACACCTGCCGTTAGAATTTAATAGCATTGTTCAGCTCTCATTTGATCAAAAACTATTTCTGTGCTGGTCCTTGGTATGGCTTAAATGGAAACACAAAATTTAGATGTGAGGAATGATAGTAAGGGTAGGCACCTGCATTCTCTCAACAAGGGTGCAGGCAGTGCTCCACTTGTTTCTGACGAATGCTGGGACTACGGCCATGAATACCACAGGTTAAGCTGTGGCCTCATGGAGCGTCCATTCAGTAAAGAACGGGCGTTAGCAAAGGAACAAGTGAGATAAAGGGAAATAGCAGGCTGGGGTTGTGTCTATTCATGGCTGGTGGTACCCCTTTGTTGGTGGCAGCAGTGACAAGGTTTTCTTTTCTAAAGAAATATATTAACATTTAAAAGGTAAGTTAATTTAAATAAAAATATTAAGTAAGTAATAGCACAGGTGGTACACAAATCATGAAAGTGTCTTGTGTTGCTATGTGGAGATGGCAAAGATTGGGAGGATGGCATGCAAATTACGTTGGGGAAATTGATGTAAGAAAACCTGGCGTAGTCCCTGAGTAGAAGGTGCGCTCCAAGACTCACTCTCGTAGATTTGTACAGTGTAAGTTACCCTCTAAAGAAGCATGCCCTGACCATTAAATAACAGAAAAGTAGGTCATTTGGCTGAAGAGAAAGGCAATTGGAGTTAGCAGCCCAATACTATGCTGACTTGCCTGAAATTATATTCTCCTAAGTTGAAACCAAGGATGTCATTTGGCATTTGATTATGTACCAAGTTCATTATTCCATGATAAGCATGGCTTCATGATGCGTGGATTTCATTATTGTCAGAAATTCAAAACAATCAATGTCTGCTGCCACTTTCTGAGGGATAAAAAAACCCAAAAACCTTAACTGGTAAATCTTGCTATGGTCCTGGCATTTTTCAATGGCATGTTGTCTAATGAGACCGTATTTGTTTAAAAAGAGCAAAGCACAAGTATGTTCTGTGAAATACATTATTTGTCTAATGGCACAACTCAGAATGGGCTCAGCTTATTAAGCCACTTATTCGTAGAAATGCAGCTCCATTAAGTCAATTAAAGTCAGAAAAAGGACGTTGTGGCCTCCAGTTCCCTGCCTCGTGTATCATCTTCCTAATGGGACTTCCTTTCTCAATACAACTACCTGGTAAAAACATTTTCTGTGTGTTGGCCTTGCAAAGGTTGAAATGCAAACGATGTCTTTCCTGAGCGGCTCCTTTGAAATTTGCATGTAAGGAATGATACTCTGCTTGTTTCTCACTAATGCTGGGGCTACAACCAGGAATTCCACAGGT